ATAATAAAAATATTTTTTTATTAATAATAAGTTAATAGTATTTTAATATTATTATAATTATTTTATTATCTGATCTTAATAAATAATTTTATTATTTAAATTATTTACAATAATATTATTATTTTTATTTATTATGCTATGCTGTTTTTTTATTTTTTTTCGACAATTATTTAAATTAGTAATTTATGTATATAATATAATCACATAAAAAACAAGTATTTAAATTTTCTTCAATCTCTAAAAAAAGATGTAAATATTAATTTTATAATCATTATATATAGTAGAATATGTTTTATTTAATAAATAATTAATTATTCCTAAAAATATAATCATTATTTACTCATTTTATTTTATTTATTTATAAAATATTATATATTTATAATAATCAATCGGTTATTTGTTATTATTATATATTTGTTTCAACTATTAAAATTAAATTTATTTATGTTATCATAAATAAATATATTTAGTTATTAATTAAGCAATATATTTATTATTTATTTATATTCTAGATATTCATTTTTTTTATTATATTCAAGATATTTAATTTATTACTAAGTTATTCTTTTTAAATAATTTTATTAGAATAAATTGTACATAAATATTTTAAAGTTATTTTTAATTTAGTAATTATAATTTACAAGTTATTTCTTTAAATTATTATTTATTTTACAAATTTATTTATGGATTATATATATTCTATGTTAATTCATAGATAATATTACTAACGAACATTTATATTCATGTTTTTTTGTTATTATAATTTAACTTTCTTTATCAAAAAATCGATAAATTTAATATAATATAATTTTTTATATTAATTAATTTTAATAATAATACAAAAAACTTAATATGAAGTAATTTTTTTATTTTTGATAACAAAGTATTTTAGTATTAATACTTAGTAAATAAAAAATTAATAATATATTTATAAATATATATGAAATTATTTTAATTTTTTGTTATTTTATAATATATATTTAAAATAATTTATATATATAGTATTTATAATGAGATTAATTTAATATAAATTAAAAAAAAAAAAAAATCGATTATTATTTCTTTTAATTTAATTAAAATTTATTGGATTTTTTTTATTAATAAATAAATAAAAATCTTTTTTATACAAATATAAAAATTCTTAATTTTTTTTTTTTAAATATAATTTTAAAATTATCTTTTTTTTTATTAAACATAATTTCACAATTAAAAATAATTTGAATAAAAAATAATACACAGTAATTTATACTCACCATAATGTTATTTTATAAAATTAATATGGAATATATTGTAATTTATATTATAACCTATTAAATGAATACTTAAAATAATTTAATAAAACCAATATAAGATAATATATTAAGTAATAATAAAAATATTTGTATAAATACTTTTAAACATACTTTGATATTTTATGAATATAGATATAAAAGAAGAAGAAAAAAATGTTAATACTATAACATATTAATGAATATAAATATATATATTATTTTAAAAATAAAAATATGATAACTAAAATGTAATATATTATTTTGTATAATATTAAAAAAAATATAATAAAATAAAGCTAATTTAATATAATTAAATATATAGAATAAATAATGAAAGAATATGAAAATTAGTTTGTATTAGTAACAATATTTTTTTTTAATAAATAAATATAAAGAAAGATTTTATTTAGAACAAACATATAATTTTTAATTTTTTAAAAAACATTATTTTAGTGTTTAAATATGAATCTTATTTTATTTATAAATCATAATTAATGGTATATATTAAAGATTCATAAAATACATTTTACTTAAATTTACATTATAGTTTATATATTTTTAAAATATTAATTATAATCAATATAAAGATTTAATTTAAAAAATTAATCATATTTAATGTTATTCAAAGACATTAATTATAATATCTTTAATTTTAATTTTTAAAAATATAATCATAATAATAAAATTCAATATTATTTATTTTTATTATTATAGATAAAATATAAGTCTACTTTTGAATATATATTATATATTTATATTTT